TTTCAGTTGTTTAATTTTACACAGAAAGCGTTTTTCCCCCATCCAGAAAATGTATACAAAATATATGATAATTATTTTACACCATGTTTGGACTTAGGTGTCCCGAAAAAAAAAAACGCTTAGTCGGCCCAACCAACGATTTGAATGGCAGATAAACCCTGGATACGCAGGTTCTCCCATACAAAAGAGAACAAAAACAATGTAGCTATCAAATAAGTCCTTGTCCAAACATTAAAACAGGCTTAGGACTAGCCTACATGTCAGTTGCACAATCTGGTTTGGTACGATGGGCTGGGCTGGGCAGGACCAAGCCAACTGCCTTTGTCCAGAACTGGGACGCCAGCCACACAGTTCCCATTTCACTTCCACTATCAGCAAGTCATAGACTATGTGGGAACCCACAGTTCATGCCAAGCGCAAATATCTCAAGGTCAGATTACTACTTCAAAGCCACTCCCTAATATCCGCTCACCTTTTCTGATATCATTGTCATTTTGGTGTAACATCATTAGAGGACAAAAGTGGTTGGGGAATGTTAGGTATTCACTCTGTGGGCATTCAATTAGGTACATTCCAGGAGAGCGCTCGCCCCTTTCAAAGGTCGATGGGTGCCATGAGGAATACCAACCCAGACCACAGGTTGGGCGCAGGGAGCCGGTGGCCATGGGAGTTCAGCGGCATGGAACATTCTGAAGATAGGAATGTTGGACAAACAGAGATGCAAACTGGTGAGGGCCCAAAAAGGTGAAGATAAGAGTTTGTAAAATGCAAGTGAAATGTGCCCATTTTCAGAGTGGGGTGTCACAATACCAACATTTTACAAACGATGTGATACCAGGCAAAGTATCACGATACCAAGTAGTATCATGATACCACAGGGTTTGCGCCCCACCTCCCCCAGGACGCCTGTTCCCGTTCTATACGTTCTGCACAAAAACCTGTCCCTGATATTCACACCTCTACACAATCCAACACATTGAATGCTATTCATCCATTTTCCATTTTTCCTGTGCCATCCAAATGTGTGCATAGCCATGGTACCATGTTGTTAGCTAGCTAGCCAGGTAACATGACAAAACAAGGCAGTTTGTCGCGGGATAAAGGGGAGAAGGTAATATGGGGCATAACTTTTGAGCGGTTTTCAGTGCTGTAAAGACACAAGTATGACTGTCACTGTGGTCTGATTTTCCTCTATGGCAGTGGCACTTTCTATTTAACCAGGTAGGCCAGTTGAGAAAAAGTTCTCATTTACAACTGCGACCTGGCCAAGATAAAGCAAAGCAGTGCGATAAAAACAACAGAGTTACACATGGGATAAACAAAACATACAGTCAATAACACAATAGAAAATCTATATACACAGTGTGTGTAAATGTAGTAAGTTATGGAGGTAAGGCAATAAATAGGCCATAGTGCAAAATAATTACAATTTAGTATTAACACTGGAGTGATATATGTGCAGAAGATGATGTGCAAATAGAGATACTGGGGTGCAAATGTGCAAAATAAATAATATGGGGATGAGGTAGTTGGGTAGGCTAATTACAGATGGGCTGTTTACAGGTGCAGTGATCGATAAGCTGCTCTGACAACTGATGCTTAAAGTTAGTGAGAGATAAGAGAGTCTCCAGCTTCAGAGATTTTTGCAGTTCGTTCCAGTCATTGGCAGCAGAGAACAGGAAGGAATGGCGGCCAAAGGAGGTGTTGGCTTTGGGGATGACCAGTGAGATATACCTGCTGGAGCACATATTACGGGTGGGTGTTGCTATGGTGACCAATGAGCTAAGATAAGACAGGGATTTGCCTAGCAGAGATTTATAGATGACCTGGAGCCAGTGGGTTTGGCGACGAATATGTAGTGAGGGCCAGCCAACGAGAGCGTACAGGTCACAATGGTGGGTAGTAAATGAGGCTTTGGTGACAAAACGGATGGCACTGTGATAGACTACATCCAATTTGCTGAGTAGTGTTGGAGGCTATTTTGTAAATGACATCGCCGAAGTCAAGGATCGGTAGGATAGTCAGTTTTACGAGGGCATGTTTGGCAGCATGAGTGAAGGAGGCTTTGTTGTGAAATAGGAAGCCGATTCTAGATTTAACTTTGGATTGGAGATGCTTAATGTGAGTCTGGAAGTAGAGTTTACAGTCTAACCAGACACCTATTTGTAGTTGTCCACATATTCTAAATCAGATCCGCCGAGAGTAGTGATTCTAGTCGGGCGGGCGGGTGCAAGCAGCGTTCGATTGAAGAGCATGCATTTAGTTTTACTAGCGTTTAAGAGCAGTTGGAGGCTACGGAAGGAGTGTTGTATGGCATTGAAGCTCGTTTGGAGGTTTGTTAACACAGTATCCAATGAAGGGCCAGATATATACAAAATGGTGTTGTCTGCGTAGAGGTGGATCTGAGAGTCACCAGCAGCAAGAGCGACATCATTGATATACAGAGAATAGAGTCGGCCCGAGAATTGAACCCTGTGGCACCCCCATAGAGACTGCCAGAGGTCCAGACAACAGGCCCTCCGATTTAACACATTGAACTCTATCTGAGAAGTAGTTGGTGAACCAGGGGAGGCAGTCATTTGAGAAACCAAAGCTATTTAGTCTGCCAATAAGAATGCGGTGACTGACAATCGAAAGCCTTGGCCAGGTCGATGAAGACGGCTGCACAGTACTCTTATCGATCGCGGTTATAATATTGTTTAGCACTTAGAGGCTGCGTGACAGCAAAGCCTAGTAAGACTGGCCAGCTTGTTACAGGCAAAATGAAAAGATATGCGATGCGAGCCGCACCAAAACACTGCCTGCACACCCCAGCTCGCCATCACGGCTAAATAACATTTAAAAACTGATAGACATGCACAGAAAGAATGGGCGGAGAAAAGCAGCTGAGTAGGCTAATGGCTGGTTAAGGGATGAGGCTGACTGCTCACAGCTGTCACACGTGATATTGGATGAAGCACTCATTCTGATATGACATATTACATTTACATTTGAGTAATTTAGCAGACACTCTTATCCAGAGCGACTTACAGGAGCAATTAGGGTTAAGTGCCTTGCTCAGGGCACTTCGACAGATTTTTCACCTAGTCGGCTCGTGGATTAGAACCAGCGACCTTATGGTTACTGGCACAACGCTCTTAACCACTAAGCTACATATCTGGCATCATGCTCTGAACTCTGATATTCTAGTTGTAGGACACGTAGGGATGCATTCTGTGCGCAGTCATTCATTTTGAGAGAGAAGGTAGTGATCACACCGGGAGAAGATCTGTTTGCACCTCTCTTTTATAGCGCAATGGGTAATATACTGAGTACGCAAACTTTGTCAACCCCCCCACCCTTACGGATCTACACAATTCATGTGGATGACTTATTTTGGAGATCAATCTGGAGGTGAAAGAAACACCTGTTTAGACGAGGTGGTGGCTACCAGAGTAGAACACTTGAAAAAGAAAAGGAGAGCTGCACACTCTAGGAGCTCAGATGCAATAATTTTATAGCCAACGTTTCAACAGCCAAGCTGTCTTCATCGGGGTATAATGATGAGATCAAAACAGTGAATATAACCGAAAAGTGACAAGTTTGCATCCCTGCAAATATGTAAAAAGGTGCAACAACCAACTGCCTTGGTTAGGGGCTGAAGGAAAAGCAGTCAATCAATTAAAAAGAGATAGGCCAGACAAAGACAAACCAAAGGGGGTTAACCAGTTCAATGGATGAGGCATCCGCGTCAACATGCAGGCCTGGGTAATGATAAGGATGGGAGAGGCTCAAAAACAAAAAAAGACTACCAGGAGTGCCCAGTCCATACAAACTCTGGCCCAGGAGGCAGTCCATTGTACACTCTTATTAAATTGAAATTCTTCACAGCATTTTGTGACAGGAGGAGCTGCCCATCCATTGAACTGCAGCAGGATGCAGGGCTTGAATTAGGGTTATATTCAGCTGAATTTGAGGTTAGGAAAAGATAAAAACAACAAAGGATTTACTGTGGTGCAAACTAAAAAAATCTGCACGGAAATGAACAAGGGGTTCAAAATATAAGATAGGCCCCAGCACTGTAATCCTCCAGTTAACATATTATACACACATCTCAACAAAGAAATAGGATCAAATTGTGCGAAGTGGGAGCAAGGTTTTAATTAGGGTTTAGACAGCGGTGAAGATTAGCTGCTGTCAAATAGCTTGCCTCTACCCCGGTGACCGGCACATTCAATGAGCTTTGTTGGATTGCTGTCGAGATATCCAGGTAATTATCTTGCCACCCCTGCAGCCCCCGCTCGCTCAACTCACAGGGGTTAACCTTTTCAAGCGGGTGGGCAGGATGGGTGCGAGCATAAAGGAGCAGAACAATGCCCTCTCAGCCCAGGGAAAATCGAGAAGGTACAAAAAAAACCTGTGTTCCCACACTTCTAAACAAAAAGGCTTGGACGTTTCAATGCAGCGTTCTACTATATACAAAATAAATGCTGCGGTGATGGCTGTCTGCTCATGGAATAAAGTGGCCTAAATTTACAGCACTAATTTACAGCATGTTTTATTTCAGCCACACGAGACCAATCATGGATTGTGGACCATGCAAAGGAAAGCAATCAAAGCATGTACGTAAGCTAGCTGCTAATGTTGGCTAGCTGGGTTAGGGTTGTTATGTAGCTAGCTTAGCAAGCTGACGACGAAACTTGCCTTTTTTTGCTTTGTGTCATAGATAATGGTGCTAGCTAGTTAACATGCCAGGCAATGCAAATTAATTCACAAATATATATTAGTCAACATTGTTAATGGCTCACTTGTTAGCCAGCTATAACGGCAGGTTAGCTAGCTGACTGCGTTTAGTTAGTTAACATTAGCTTGCAAATGTTAGGCTAGCTACTGTAGCTACCTAACATTAGCTTCTTATACACCAACCCCCATTCTATCGAACCACCCATTCCATTCCACCCCCTCCCCCATATCAGCCTCCCTGAAATACAGCTAAATCCAAATTTTGACAATGTCTTACCTGGAGTTAGCCTGTGTTCTCCTCCCATAGCCGGGGGAGACATCGAGTGTGATGATGGGCAGTCAACTGGCGGACGGAGGTTGCATCTTTGAGGGGACGGAGTGCTTGGAGCCCCCGGTAGTGCATTGCACCTTCTTCGCTTAGGAGACTGGGGACTGAGTAGGGCCTCAAACTCCATCGAGCGTTTTAACGTAGCTCCACACGCCATGGTGCCTGAGCAAAAGAGACAACGAAGATATACGACCCGCAAAACGTGAGGTCTAAACGTTAAATATCTTCTAAAAATGCTGTACTCGACCCTTCTCTTTCCCGTTCCTCTCTCTTCACAACAACGGTTTGCTGAAACCGGGAGAGTGAACCAGTCAACTGCCCTGCCTACCGACTGAATTTCTAAAACGTCACAAGCGCCGACCGTACCATTCGACAAAAAGAGGGTGAATGTAGATTTCGGAAAAAAAATTATTCACGTAGAATTTCTCGTATAGAGCATAATTGTGATATTTAGATTTTATTTAAAATATTATCGATTCTACATACATGTGTGATACATTTTGTCAATAAATGTACTACTTTACATGTTTATTCTTGTCATCCACCCCTTTTCTTTTATGACGACTGTTTTCAGTTTAACTCAAATTTGATGTTCACGAGAGTGACTGCTCTGCTCCTTTTAACAGGTAGGCTACAGTAAGTATCTGTTGTCTATCATGTTCTTTATAAATACTAAATTAAAACACTGTATTCCCCCTTTACATACATCAATGAAAACCAAGGGCGTTTCAAATGTCCCTTCACTTCCCATAAATGATGTCTTTATAAATTACTGTTGAGCAACTCAAGCAAGAGCAGCAGATCTGTTGCTGCTCTTTCCAACCACATTGCTTATTGCCAAGACAAACATGACAATGAGTGACAGTAGGCACGATAGCAAAAACAGACTGGCACCCAGGCTAGCTCTAGATGCTCAATTTAATTAGTTCTGGTTACTTTGCAGTCTCACCTCCCCTCTTGCTTTTTGCCTTCATATTATTTCATCCATGGGTTTTCAATATTGCAAAGAATATCACAGGGAAAACCTTTGAACCACAAATTGATAGATTTTGCCAAGGTTCCTCATAGGTTAATATGCCACGGTCTCTGCAAGAATCCGTCCTAAACATTTGCTCATTGTGATGCATTTAATGACATACTGAGTCCATTGTGACACTGCAGGTGAAAGGATACATTGCATTGTGTACCAGTTAGCCTAGAGCCCTCTGCACAAGGGAGGTTTCCTTTTGCATGTCCTTTTCGATTCATACATCCTCATATTTTTCATTCAGAGTGTAACATGTCATGTATGGTTGCACATAAACATTGAAGTCAAATCATTAGTGAGTTATTCATTGTGTTTCTGGTCCCTAGTACCTGAGAGGGACATGCTTTATATATTGACATGGATGTATTATCTGTGGTCATCTTGTCTGCCACCTTGTCTTAAAGGCCTAGTGCAGTCAAAATGTGATTTCTCTGTGTTTTTATATATATATATATATATTTCCACACTATGACGTTGGAATAATACTGTGAAATTGGGAAAATTACGATAATGCCCTTTTAGTGTAAGAGCTGTTTGAAAAGACCGCCTGAAATTGTTGGTGGGATGGAGTTTTGGCCTGCCTGCCTGGTGACATCAACAGGCGGTGAATTAGTTCATAGACCAATAGACGGATTGGTTGTTTAGCAACAAAACCAACACGTGTGCAACTATGAGGCAAAACAGATTGGGTTGGCTTACATTGTTGACAACATGTAAATTATATTTAGTCACCAAATGTTTATTGAAAACATAAATACATTTGCACAATAAGCACTTGTTGTCTCTCAAATACATCGTTACAGTTGTTGGTTAGCTAGATAGTGAATTTGAGTCATATTAGCATTAAAATGAAATAAGTCAAAATAACGCAAAAGACATGGTATCAAGAACAAGATACAACTAGCTGAAATGAGCCACCTACGATTCCCCACATGACAGTTTCTTGTCATTGTTGCTAGCTATCTGACCGTTCAGAATCATAACAAAACACGGCTTCAAATCAAATCGAATTTTCTTTGTCACATGCTTTGTAAAAAACAGGTGTAGACTAACAGTGAAATGCTTACTTACGGGTCCTTTTCCAACAATGCAGATAAACATTTTTTTTTTTTTTACTACAAATAGTGACACAAGGAATAAATACACAGTGAATAATGAATAAAAATAAAAAGTAAGAATAACAAGGCTATATACAGGGAGTACCAGTACCGAGTCGATATGCAGGGGTGCGAGGAAATTGAGGTAGCTATGTACACATAGGTATGGGTAAAGTGACTTGGCAACAGGATAGATAATAGACTGAGCTGTAGCAGCAGCGTATGTGAAGCAGTAGCAGCAGCGTTTGTGTGTGTGGCATCAGTATACATGTGTGTGGGCATATTTAGTGTTTGTGGGTGTGTGTGTGTATGTGTGTGTTGGGGTGTCAGTGTAAGTATGTGTGTAGGTAAAGTCCAGTGTGTGTCAGTGAAAGAAAGTTAGTTAAAACAGGGTCAATTCAGGTAGTCTGGGTAGCCATTTGATTAGCTATTTAGCAGTCTTGTTTAGCGGTCTTATGGCTTGGGGATAGAAGCTGTTCAGGGTCCTGTTGGTTCCAGACTTGCTGTGCGGTAGCAGAGAGAACAGTCTATGGCTTGGGTGGCTGGAGTCTTTGACAATTTTTTGGGCTTTCCTCTGATATAGAATTCCTGAATGGCAGGGAGCTTGGCCCTAGTGATGTACTGGGCCGTACTCACCACCCTCTGTAGCGCCTTGCGGTCCAGTGCCTTGCAGTTGCCGTGCCAAGCAGTGATGCAGCCAGTCAAGATGCTATCAATGGTGCAGCTGTATAACTTTTTGAGGATCTGAGGGCCCATGCCAAATGTTTTCAGCTTCCTGAGGGGGGAGAGGCGCTGTCGTTCCCTCTTCACAACGGTGTGGGTGTGTGTAGACCATGTTAATTCCTTAGTGATGTAGACACAGAGGAACTTGAACACTCTCGACCCGCTCCACTACAGCCCCATCGATGTGGATTGGGGCGTGCTCGCCCCTCCCTTTTCCTGTAGTCCATGATTAGCTCCTGACGTTGAGGTAGAGGTTGTCTTGGCACCACACTGCCAGGTCTCTGACCTCCTCCCTATAGGCTGCCTCATCGTTGTTGATCAGTCCTACCACTGTTGTGTCGTCAGCAAAGTTGAGGATGGTGTTGGAGTCGTGTGCGACCACGCAGTCGTGGGTGAACAGGAAGTAGAGGAGGGGACTAAGCACACACCCTTAAGGGGCCTCTGTGTTGATGGTCAGTGTGGCAGATGTGTTGTTGCCTACCCTCACCGCCTGGGGGTGGCCCGTCAGGAAGTCCAGGATCCAGTTACAGGGGAGGTGTTCCGTCCCATGGAGGAGACTATGGTGTTGAATGCTGAGCTGTAATCAATGAACAGTGTAAAATAGAGTGGAGTGTTGTAGAGAATCGAAGGACCATGAATGTAATAAGCAACCTTAGGTGCTGGCCTCAGGCTGGTAGCAACCACTACAGACTGTCCAGTCAGAACAAGGATGAGGCGGGTGTTCAGGTTAAGGGGAGTTTAATGGAATAAGATGTCCACATCCACATACACACATCAAACACACATCTGACCACTCATGGTTCAGATAACTGAGAATCATGTCCAGTGATAACTGACATTAACTATGTGGTTCTGAAAGGAAAGCGGAGAAAGAACATGTAGACTATAGCACTGCTATAATATGAATGCCATGGCTGTATAAGCTAGCACAGGTAAGTATATAACAGCAAGGGCTATACACTACAGCAGGCATTAGGCCTAGTCACATGGCAATAGACTGGGCTATACACTACAGCAGGCATTAGGCCTAGTCACATGGCAATAGACTACACAAACTATTAGATTTGTACACATGAAACTCAGGCAAATGTGCTCAAATAAACATTACAGTAATGTTGAAATGTATACATAATATAAATAAAATGAGGATGAGTGATATATATATATATAGAATAGAAAATAGCCTAGCACCATAAATGAGAAATGCTAATAAACGGCTAATCACTAACAGTCATGCTAAAATGCTAATGCATTCCAATGCAAAATGCTAACGGTAGTGCTAACACTAGCAGGAGCGCGAGCTAGCTAACAAGCTCAACACACGGTAATTATACACAATAGACCACAAAACTTAGCTCCACATAATATGACACAGATTTCAAGGCACTTACGTTTAGATGCACGCACAATTAAACATCAGACATACAGGGATTCAGTCCACAGGAGGAAAAGTTCAGCAGGAGGGAAAACTGTGGAAATGCTCATTAGGATGGGGAAAGCACATTTCTGACCACACACACCAGTGTTGCCAACTCCTCAGTAAGGAAAGTAGCTATTGGCTGTCCTAAAAGTCACTAGAAGTCGCTAAATGACGTCATCACCTAATTTGCATAATTGGCCATGTGCATGTAATTGTGATGGACACTGTGGAGAGAGGAAAAACGTTGTGGGAGAGACAAAAAGTGAGTAAAAAACACCCTACATTTACATCCCGCCCTGAATGTAAGCCAGGGCGGGATCAGCCAGCGGCGGCTTCCCGCATGCCCGATTCATTTGCATTGTGGACGCGGAGGGGTGAACATCTCCTGCTCTGACTGCAGCTGGCCCAGGGTGGGGCCCACTGCAGCACCCGCTGCTCGTCGAGAAGAGTAAGAACGATACGTGCTTTCACGTCAGAGTCTCCAATAACACCAGAAAAATTCGCTAGATTTGTCGCTAGTCGCTTTTTTGAAAATGTGTCGCTAGAGGGGTCTGAAAACTCGCTAAATATAGCGACAAAGTCGCTAAATTGGCAACACTGCACACAGCGTGCTGGGTCATAGACTAACTGAAACTGGTCCCGGGAATCAAGGCCACTGATAGGCTGAACGAGATGTGGTGATAAGTATTTGGCATGACATTAACCAATAAGCGACTAACAAAAGTGGGGGTCCTCTGAATGGGAGACTAAGCTGCCTGACTAGAACTAACCAGAAGGGATGGCTAGAATCAGCTGACTGAAGCTGGCCGTTTTAACAAACAGCATTCTTACATAGGTATTCCTTTTGTCCAGGTGGGAGAGGTCAGTGTGGAGTGCAATAGAGATTGCGTCATCTGTGGATCTGTTGGGGCGGTATGCGAATTGGAGTGGGTCCAAGGTGTCTGGGATGATGGTGTTGATGTGAGCCAAAACCAGCCTTTCAACGTATTTCATGGCTATAGCTGTGAGTGCTACGTGGGCGATAGTCATTTAGGTAGGTTACGTCGGCGTTCTTGGGCAAGGGGACTATGGTGGTCTGCTTGAAACAAGTTGGTATTACAGACCGGGTGAGGGATAGGTTGAAAATGTCAGTGAAGACATTGCCAGCTGGTCAGCGCATGCACTAAGTACGCATCCTGGTATTCTGTCTGGCCCAGAGGCCTACGGAGAGCGAGATCCCCCAGTCGTATCTGCAGCGGAGAGTGAGATCACACAGTCGTTCCGGCCACATCGATGCATGCACATCATTTTCGTGACATTGTCAGACAACCCGTCTATAAGAAAGAGTTCCAAACCTCTCTGCCATTAACAGCTAGTTTTCAGTTTGCCCCTCCCCACTCAGACCACTCCCAGACATTGCTCTTTGCTAAGAAACTATTTTTTTTTCTTTTTGACCATTTTAATTGAAAACAATCACAGTAAGGTACTTAATTGTTACCCAGAAATGACTCAGTCTCTCTCTCTATATAGTTTCTGCCATCTCACCCCTTCACAGAAACCATGCTGTCTGTCTTTTTTCCCCACTGTTCTCTGACCTGAAATGGCAGACTCCCTGTCTCCAGACTGTCATCTGTGTTCAGAAGGATTGTCCTCTTGATTTTATCTGGTAGGGAAGGGGGACTATAAACACCCAACACTTTCTTTCAAAGGCTGCAGAGGAGACACCAAATTGTCTTAGCAGCAGTGTAGTTTGTCACTTTAACAGGAGACTGGGAGCTGAAGAGAAGAAATCGATTGACTAATTAAGGGATATCATTTTTTTTTTTCATGTGTATACAGCCTGGCATTACTTTTAATGGCTTAGAGCTTAGACTAGTACCCCTGCACATCGACTCGGTACTGGTACTTCCTGTATATAGCCATGTTATTGTAACTCGTTATTGTTATTCGTTATTCACTGTGTATTTATTCCTCATACCACTATTTCTATGTTTTATCTTTAACTCTGCATTTTTGGAAAAGGACCCGCAATTAAGCATTTCACTGTTAGTCTACACCTGTTGTTTAAGAAGAATGTGACAAATAAAATGTTATTTTTTTAATTAAGACAAAACATCTACACCTTTGTGTTTGATTGTTTTGTGATCGATCTACTAAAATGACTTTGTGAACTATAGTTGCCATTTGTAGTGTTCTATAGAAAATAGGGTTCTACGCTCTGTGTTGGGTGACTCTCTATCTTTCTGACCTGTGCCCCACTTATCTCGACCAGTGGCGTAGGCAGAAATTTGTGGGTGGGCCTGCAGAAATGTTGCCATGGAACAGAGACAAATGTGCAGTTTATAGCTAATCTCATGCTATTCTACACATTTTGCCATGTTGCTGAGACAACATGTTGGTGTTTTAAAGCACATTTCCTGCAATTCTACACATTTTGCCATGGGACAGAGAGGAAAATGTGCAGTTTTTTTACTAATCTCATGCTATTCTACACATTTTGCCATGAAGCTGAGAGAAAATGTAGCATTTTTAAAGCTAATTACAGCTAAAATATAGATGTGTTGACTGTGATAAAGGCATTGGATTATGAGCTGTCTTGTTTGCTAAATGAACAAATGAAATAGGCAGTGGCATGGTGCATATAGCCATAGAAGCACAGTGACATATGCCTCAATGCAGTCATATTCGTGGCTCATTGGGGGTGTGACTTTCAGTTTGTTCTTTTTGGCAAGTTATGTCATTCCAGGTAATCTGTTCCATTATATTTAATCAAATCTAACTAACCCAGTGCACTGCTTGCTATGAATTCTGATAGTGTTTGCATATTTAGGTAAAAAGACAAATAATGTCCCATTTGGAACACTGACAAGTAAAGAGCATAAAAAAATATTAAAATAAATAATACAAAATCTGAGTGGACCACTTTTTTTTCTGAGTGGACCCACCCAGGCCCATCCTTGCCTACGCCCCTGATCTCGACACTGCTTGCAGTCACATGTGGAGGACATTGTTTACAATCCACAGGGCCTCTGTTCAGGAGAGGTATTTATGTGCAGATGGGAACCCGACAGGATCCTCTTCTGGACGCTAAAGGACAAACACTCAAGCGAAAACAAGCATAGGATACACATAGCTATCTACCTTTACACTGCCAACACCAACAATGCTGTTGTTTTCCCAAATGTGTTAATTTGGAATAATTCCCCTAATTTCTACTGGTTTGTAAAAAATAAAAAAATCTATAATGTCCCTTGGACAAATTATGAAATAATATTATCTCTGAGTGACTTGGCTCGTAGGTGGGTCAACCCAATTTATGCTAACATGGTCGATATCTTTGTTTTGGTCCCTGTTATCACAGTTCATTTTAGAGACATTACCTCCTTAACGCTATGAACACAACAGAAGAAACACAAGTTCACAACACTCCACTGCTATAACCCTGATATACAGTAAGCCTCTCCTCCCTTCTTATTTCCCAGTCATGTCCAGCTGCTGCTTGTCCACCATTTCTGAGACTGTGTTCTGTCGGCAGCTAGTGAGTCTGGGCGCCTCACCCTCGGAGTGCGCGCTACAGCTGTTGCCCTCGCTTAAGGGAAGTGCAGGGGTCGTGTCTCCCCCTACGTGCCTCTGGCAGCACCCCAGCCTCTCACTCAGGCCCCCCAACAGCCGCATCAATGCCACCCTCAGCTCCCGGCAGCGCAGGGCATACAGCAGTGGGTTGACGGCTGAGTTGACCAGGCACATGGTGCTGCAGAAAGCAAAGGCCCTCTGCTGGGCGTGTGTGAGCTGCACCGAGACGTCTACCAGCATGAAGGAGATGGTTGGCAGCCAGCAGCCCACCATGATGAGCAGAATCAGGCCCAGGGTACGTGCCAAACGGATGTCCATCCGCATGCGGGCCTGACCACCGATAGGCGCCCCCTGGAGGCCCGTCATGGAGGCCTCATGCCGATTGGCCCTCCACAGGATCAGGGTGTAGGCGCCCAGGATGAGTGACAGCAGCACCAGGATGAAGACGACCCAGCAGGCCAGGTAGCGGTGGTCGATGTATGGGAAGAGGAGCGAGCAGGGCGGGCTGAGCCCTGTGGGGCACCTCCAGCCCATCAGAGGGAGGAAAGAGATGAGGATGGTGGCGCTCCACAGGGCCAGGAGAGCCAACAGGGCCCTGCGGCGCGTCAACACCACTTTATATCTAGACGCCTGATGTATACACAGATAGCGGTCCAGAGCAGTCAGCAGAAGACTACCCACCGAGCCGGTGAAAGCCATCGTCACACCACCCAGCTTGAAGAGGAAGGCGATGGGGCCGTCAAGGCGGTGGAATAGGTGGAAGTCCAGGAAGCTTGTGGTGAAGAAGCAGCTGGCAAAGACGTCGGCCAGGGCCAGGCTGCCGATGAAGAGGTAGGAGGGGCGCTGGCGCAGGGCGGCGGTGGTGGCGATCACACCCAGGACCAACGCATTCTCCAGGAAAGTGAAGGGTCCGGCCAGGAAACAAATGGAGCCGATGGCTCTCTTCTCCACCTCGATCAGGACCATATAGCACTTCAGCTCCTCACAGGACTGGTTGACTGTTGACACAGGAATACAATTCAGACATCAGTGATTGGCATTTGTTGCATGGCAGCCAATGTGAACTCACATTACCAATCATCATCATCATAATATTTAATGTGTCTCTATTACAAAGTTATTCTATTTAAAATATGATGGGACATAATATTCTAATATACATACCCAGAGGTGATGTTGTGGTGGTGCTGCCATTGTCTTTGGACATCATGGCTCCTACAGGCTCCTTCCATCCATCCATCTCTTATAGGTAAGGGGTTAGCTCTGAGATCTATTTAGAGGTGCAGAGGGGAAATGTATGGACATTGTTCTCATACTGTATGTACCCAGAGAAATTCAGATGGGTCAGAAGTCATCAAACAGTATCAAATGTGACCACTGGATGGAGACATTATCTCAGTTTAAACAGAACTTCCTGAATGGTGCATCTCAAATTGTACTTCCTTGACTTTTCACATTCACGTTCCTCGCTTTCTTCTCAAAATGCATCGGAGGAGAAGGTCCAAGGGGAGGAACCTCTGACTCTTTCCTCCAATACGTTGTGAGAAGAAGTTGCCTCCTAATTGCCTCCTTCCTGAATACTTGCAGGGTCTCTTCATGGTGAAAATGTGCTAATAATTGGCTTGTGAATGTGTTAATTCAAAACCAATTATTGTCCTATTTTTTATTATCTTTTATATTTTTTTCTCTGCTGTAAATAGATAGAGTATTGTTTTGAGGTGATGAAACATGTCCCTGTGTTCAAATATATTCCTATTAGCAGAAAATGAAATCCACCAAAAACAAGCTTCAGACATTCTGTGGAAACATAACCATTTAAACACGGGGACCTATTTTATCACCTCAAAACAATACTCTGTCTATTTACAGCAGAGAAAAAAATCTATCCCTTCAAGCCCACCGCAAGAGGCACGGTAAAAACAAACATATCATCAATAGACATAAAAGCTACCTCTAGATATCTCTAATTTTGACCTTGAGGCTTTCACTTGAAGTGAATAGGGTGGTGACTTTTTATCATTAAAGGAGACAACGATGTGAGTCATAGTAAACCACATGAGGGGGCTTGGTAGAAAGAGCCGTGCATGACCAGCTGTTGATGGAAGTACATTAGGCTAGAAAGACAGTGTTGAGTTGGGCCTCACCAGACCACGGTCATTAAGGTCTAGTAGAGTCAGACTGAGCATGGAAGGCATCCTCTCTATGCGCTATAGCAAGGGTCCCCAATTACATTAAGCCGTGGGCCGATTTTCTTCTTGAGCGGATGGTCGGGGGGCCAAAACATAATTATAAATAATTTGTACTCTGCAAATTTGACACAAATATAAGAATTTCAAACCTTGATTACATTGGGATACGATCACATACACTGAGTATACAAAACATTAGGAACCCCTGCTCTTTCCATGAGTTAGACTGAGTGCCATTCAGAGGGTGAATGGGCAAGACAAATTATTTAAGTGCCTTTGAACTGGGTATGGTAGTAGGTACTAGGCGCACCGGTTTGAGTGTGTCAAGAACTGCAACACTGCTGGGTTTTTCACGCTCAACAGTTTCCCGTGTGTATCAAGAATGGCCCCCCAAAGGACATCCAGCCAACTTTACACAACTGTGGGAAGCATTGGAGTCAACATGGGCCAGTATCCCTATGGAACACTTTTGACACCTTGTAGAGTCCATGCCTCGACGAATTGAGGCTGTTCTGAGGGCAAAAGGGGGTGCAACTCAATATTAGGAAGGTGTTCCTAATGTATTGTACACTCAGTGTATGTCTCTCAATATATGCATGGGAATACTTAGGAACATATTTCCAAAATTAAAATAACTTTGAGCTGATTTCCTAGTGATTTTACAGTACAGCGCTATGAAAAAGTATTTGCCCCCTTTCTAATTTTCTCAACTTTTGCATATTTGTGATACTGAATGTTATCAGATCTTCAACCAAAACCTAATATTAGAATAAGTGAACATAAGTGAACAAATAACACAACAATTACATTTTTATTTCATTTATTTCATAAACAAAGTTATGCAACACCCAATTCCCCTGTGTGAAAAAGTAATTGCCCCCTTACACTCAATAACTGGTTGTGCCACCTTTAGCTGCAATGACTCCAACCAAATGCTTCCTGTAGTTGTTGATCAGTCTCTCACGTCGCTGTGGAGGAATTTTGGCCCACTCTTCCATGCAGAACTGCTTTAACTCAGTGACGTGTGGGTTTTCAAGAATGAACTGCTCGTTGAAAAGTCCTGCCACAACATCTCAATTGGGATTAGGTCTGGACTTTGACTAGGCCATTCCAAAACTTCCAATTTGTTGCTTTTTAGCAATTTTCATGTAGACTTGATTGTGTGTTTTGGATCATTGTCTTGCTGCATGACCCAGCTGCGCTTCAGCTTCAGCTCACAGACGGATGGTCTGACATTCTCCTGTAGAATTCTCTGATACAGAGCAGAATTCATGGTTCCTTCTATTAAGGCAAGTCGTCCAGGTCCTGAGGGAGCATAGCATCCCCAAACCATCACACCACCACCACCATGCTTGACCTTTGGTATGATGTTCTTACTGTGGAATGCAGAGTTTGGTTTTCGCCAGGCATTACTGGAACCATGTCGTCCAAAAAGTTATACTTTTGAATCATCTGTCCATAGAACGTTCTTCCAAGAGTCTTGATGATCATCCAGGTGCTTTTTGGCAAACTTTAGTAAACCTTTTGGACGAGATGGGTCCCATTATGCCTGGCGAAAACCAAACACTGCATTCCACAGTAAGAACATCATACCAAAGGACAAGCATGGTGGTTGTGTGATGGTTTGGGAATGCTTTGCTGCCTCAGGACCTGGATGACTTGCCTTAATAGAAGGAACCATGAATTCTGCTCTGTATCAGAGAATTCTACAGGAGAATGTCAGACCATCCGTCTGTGAGCTGAAGCTGAAGCGCAGCTAGGTCATGCAGCAAGACAATGATCCAAAACACACAATCAAGTCTACATGAAAATTGCTAAAAAGCAACAAATTTGAAGTTTTGAAATGGCCTAGTCAAAGTCCAGACCTAATCCCAATTGAGATGTTGTGGCAGGACTTGAAACGAGCAGTTCATGCTTGAAAACCCACACGTCACTGAGTTAAAGCAGTTCTGCATGGAAGAGTGGGCCAAAATTCCTCCACAGCGACGGGAGAGACTGATCAACAACTACAGGAAGCATTTGGTTGGAGTCATTGCAGCTAAAGGTGGCACAACCAGTTATTGAGTGTAAGGGGGCAATTACTTTTTCACACAGGGGAATTGGGTGTTGCATAACTTTGTTTATGAAGTAAATATGTAATTGTTGTGTTATTTGTTCACTTATGTTCCCTTTATCTAATATTAGGTTTTGGTTGAAGATCTGATAACATTCAGTATCACAAATATGCAAAAGTAGATAAAATTAGAAAGGGGGCAAATACTTTTTCATAGCACTGTATTTTATATCCAATAAATAATAATAATCAGAAATATTTTGGCTCAGAAAACTTGGGGGAGACAAATATCACACAGGTTTAGTTTACTTTACTAATTTCTGATTTGACTTTCCAAATCAGCTGTTTGAAAGGAAATAGCTGATGACTTCCGAAAACAGTGTCACAGAAATGAAAGCATTCTAATAGAACACGTGTCTGCTTGTCAGGTAAGGCAAACCAGAAGATAAAATACAACAAAGAAATCTCAAATTCCCGGTGTACCGGTAGACTATTGTGTCTTGTGTGTATTCAATCACTGTCACTACTTTTTACAGATGAGGAGAGGTAAACCAATTATGGTGTAGACCAGGCTGCTATAGTCCGGCATAGTGGACGAGTCATAATACCCATAAAAACACAGAAATGGTTCCAATGGTTTCTCCACCATTCATTTTTCACATTGTGAATTTGACAAAGAAATCTAATTAATTGTGTGCTTGGTGGAGGCTGACCTTGGCGTGACGTTATGACAGCCACCCCTTACAAAAAAGATTGCCGTTTTGAAACTGCAGTAAATGTGCAGTAACTGCAGTCGACTGTGGTATTTTGGATGCAGTAATTGCAGAATAACTGCAGTGTACTGCAGTTGAACTGCAGTTATACTGCACTCTAACTGCAGTTACACTGCAAAATTACTGCAGTAAAAACATTATTATTTTGGTTGCAGTATTTGCCGCATACTGCAGTTATACTGCATTCTAACTGCAGTCTTACTGTACTGCAGTTATATTGCACTCTGACTGCAATCTTTTTTCGTAATGGGCATAATTCTCTCTCAGACAAGGTGAGTTTTATCAATATATTTGCCTCAATTTACTCCAAAAAAATTGCTATGCTAATTATTGATGAAAGTTACCTTGCCCAAGAGAGATTTGCGCAGTTATCAAAACGTCACGCCAGGGTAAGCCTACATGAAACAGAGACCTTATATGAAGTAGTTCTAAAATCTCAGATGGAAAAATGAATGGTGAAAAAACGATTGGAACCATTTCCAGGTTTTATACCGTGGTACTCAATAGTTGGCAGGATGAAGTCTGCCCCCTTTTGGAATTAAGAGGAAGCATTCTGAAAAATGACAAGTCATTAGTAAAAAAAAACAACAACAAAAAACTGTGTTGATGCACCTATATTAAACGGTTATAGTGAGAAGTGTGAGATAAACTGATGTGTGGAGATTAGATCAAGTTAATGGATGAAATGTCCATAGCAAAGGGTAGCCAACCATAAATGAGGACCAGGATTCCATGGTGCACTGTTTCTTTTACATAAGAAGTTGAAACATGAACTATTAGGCTATTTAAACAAACTAACAACACGAAGGGGCATTTTCAATCAAAACGGCAAAATAGCATGTTTGAATAAGATAGATAGCCCAGTATTATTGCATTGAACCAACCAGGATAGTCAATTTCAAGGATATTAAAATAAGGATGAACAACTGAAGGGATAAAATAAATGATTGGTCTCCATATACTATAGCCTACACTCTCATCAACTAGTCAATTTGCAACCCCACAACAAAAAACAACAAAATTATATATATGCAGTACCAGTCAATGGTTTGGACACATCTACTCATTCAAGGGTTTTTCTTTATTTTTACTATTTTCTACTTTGTAGAATAATAGTGAAGACATCAACACTATGAAATAACATATATGGAATCATGTAGTAACCAAAACAGTGTTAAATAAATCAAAATATATGTTATATTTTAGATTCTTCAAAGTAGCCACC